CGACATTGTTTTGTTTGAAAAAAATGTAGGAAAGAATATCAGATGGCACAGTAAGCAGTTTCACGGCCCCCCCACACTTTGCACACCAACAAAAACCAATAACCCCTAGTGTATAATCTGACCGAGAAATTGGATCATAGATTGCCATTGTTGACCAGGTTTTGATTGTGGTCTTTGAGCAAAATCCACATTTTATCTTGAAATTCTTTTCCCAAAACTCAGATCTGGGTTACAGTGAAGATTTTAATGTCAGTACGGTTTGCTTTACTTGTTAGATTTAGCAGGGAGGGCTATCCACATGACTGACATTGTACATTTTCTTGGTGATTTATTCAGTTATTGAAGTGATTAGGCATACTGCCAAGAGGTGGTTTGATGGCCCCCCCACCCCCCATTGTTTTCACCTTGGCAAGCATTGCAAGCATTAGGTGAACTTAGCCTAAGCTGCACTTTCTGCTATCTTATTCATTTAATTGTGGTTGCTGTTCATATATGCAAATTATTTCTTGCACTGACAAAGGCAACTTTGTCTTTATAAGATTGTCATTTATTTGGCCAAGCTTAATGTGTACATACCCAAAGTTTAACCATTTTTACCTTCAGCCTGTTAAAATTGCTTTTTCTCTTTCAGCCGGTCCTGCTCTAACCGTCATGGTCTGATCAGAAAGTACTCTCTCATGATGTGCCGTCAGTGCTTCAGAGAATACAGCGGAGATATCGGCTTCAAGAAGGTGAGATGCCTATAAAAGAAATTTGGTTGTTTCTTAAAATACATGTTTATGTAAAGTGAACACCGTTTGCATTACCTATCTGTGTAGATGTTATAATTTTAGTTTAGACTTTCTGAAATTGGATAATTTGCAGCCAGTTTCAATGAAATTGATAAGGTATAGGATTGAGATGATTAAATACTCTTATAAAAGTTCTCCTATATCATCTTAATGGTACAGTACAAACTCCAAAGTGAAGTATAACGATATGATTTTTGCATTTTACAATGTTTACAATTTCTCTAATGGAGATAAATTTGGAAATGATGCTAATATCCCTCTTTCTTCTTTTTCAGCTCGATTAATTCTTCTCTCCACTTGAAATAAAAAAATCAATAAAAATAATTAGTATTATTTCACTGTCATTAACCTGGACAGCCCAGAAATGAAACAAGTTACAATTGATGCTATATGTTTAAGTGTTCTGGGTGGTTACAGCATTATCAGTTTTAAGTAAATTTTGATAAATGGAATGCAGTTATTACCACTGGTAGATCCTGAAGATAGATGTGCATTTAATGTGAAACTTAAATTCTTGGTAAATTGTATTAGAACTTCATACATAATTTACCCAACTAATGTTACAGTAGAAAGATACAAGTTATGTGAAAGGTGTGAGTAAGAAGAAAATACAGCCTGTTTTCTCCCATGTGGCAAGCTAGTTTTCATATTTACATGTATCTTTTCAAAGGTTAATACCTTTTACCCATCCTTCTTTGATGTTGGTACTTGAAGTGGGTCAATTAAATGAAATATAAGAGGGACACCAGTAATTGTTGGCTACTTAAATTGCTGTCAGGTACATGACCTGTCCACTTATATTTAGATTGTTTTTATCGTTGATGCTTTAAAGTGCTCAGCCACCAAGGAGCCTGTGACAAGACCTTATTGACCTTGCCTAATTTCCCCTATCTAATGCTTGTAATATCAAGTGTTATTGATCTAAACATTAATTATATAATACTCTTATCAATACTAATAGATAAATTCCTTGGTGACTAAGCACTTGTGGAGCCATCTGTATGTAAACAAACTAGAATTGGGGAACATGGCATGTATTTCCTGCAATCCTGGCATCTTTGTCAAAGTGTGCACATTTCTTGAGACAATGTATTCATTTCAAAGGAGTCGGACATTAGTTGATAATTGTAACAAAGTTTTGTTGAGGGTCATTATGACCAGGGGAAGTGCAAGACTTAAGAATGCAAAGGTACTAATTCTATATTTCTCTAAAACTGAGCAGTTTTTCAGTTGCCACACCTTTCTCCTTCTATAACATAATTTGATAGTACCAACTGCTTGCATAGACTTCGAAGTGCAATTCATGCTAAAACAGCATGGAAGTGGAGATTTCCATTTCTGTAACGAGTCATTCTGAATAACAAGACTTCCATCACACAACCTAAACACCGAATGCCAATGATCCAGGGATAGGAGCCCATTTACCCTTTTCTTTAATTTATGAAAATATTTTGTCCTCTTATTTTGCTATTACTAATGATTATTATAACATTGTAGGAATTAATGTTTATAATAAAAATAACACAACTGATATTCATAGCACTAGTAAAAAATACATTCTCCCACCAATTTAAGGAAAGGAGAAATCAGATAAGGCAGAGCCATCTATGTATAGACACCTTTCACAAAAAATATAAAAAATGAGCACAGGATTTTCCCCAATTTTTGTTCATTTCCCCCGTTGCGAATGGGTTAATTACCAGTTTTTTGCCTATGTATCTAATTATGCCTCCCCTACTGGTGTTGGCAGGTGGTTTGAACAGAATGGTTAATGGTTATAAAGCAAAATAAGGGGGGGGGGGAGTAGAAAGATTGGAGGATTGATGAAGCGTATGCATCTCGCCTCAGGCCATGATTAGATACTTTTGAATGTAAAGGTGATGGGATGTCTGGATTTAGAATGGCAAGAGAGTTTAGCTAGGAGAGGAGGAGATGCTGGTGGAAATGTAGAAACATCTTGGGAGGATAGGGAAGTGGCAAAGCAATTATTGGAATAGGGAGTGATAGCTTCCTGTCTGGCTTTGCTATGGCTTTGCTAAAAAGCTAAACAGCACTATTTAGCAGAATGGCCTAGACGCCAACAATTCTGATATTGACAGCGGGAGGGACTCTCCGCCTGTGTAGACATTGAAGGAAAGAAATTTTGGCAATATTGATGGAGGACCTACAACAGCCTCAAGGGGGAATGGTGTAGCACTGTACTTGCCTGCATCATAGTCCATGAGGCAAGCATGTAAGTCTTCTCCACAATCTGACCTCTCCTTGTCAAACAGAGCAGTTTGTTGGGGAGATAGAGACAGTTCTGGTGCAAGTATTAAGGGAGGAATGGGTACGAAAAATTCATCTGGGCTAAACAGAGTATTCAAGATATCTATAGTGGAGGAGGTAGTAGGATAGGGACGTGTGGAAGAGGGAGTAGGGTTGAGCAAGGTAGTACTGCGGAGTGGTGGGCAATATGGTTGCAGAATAGTAATAAGGGATGATGGGGTAGTCCATGAAGAAAGATGTGGGGGTGGTAGAAGTGAAGTAGTGAATGATGGGAGCGAAGGAGTGTTTCCTGGAGGTTGAGTATTAAACTGGATGGATGATTTGGAGTGGGCTGATGTGATAATAATAAGCATTGAGGAGGGGGTAGTAGTAGCAGCAGTGTTCAGAGTCGTGCTCAAAAGAGAGCCTGGGATTGGGAAACTGGAATCAGTGGCTACTTGATAAAGGGGTCAGCCTTAAAGCCCCTATTAACTGTAAGCCTAGGATGACATGATGGGGAGAGAAATAGTCCATTCCTCAGGGTCCCGTAGAAGGGTAAGAACTAAATGAGAATACCATGCCCATGGGTACCCCAGGCTGTTCATGACTGGCCTTTCAGCACAGCTCTCACACCTCAAGAAGTGGATAGTAGAAGAGGTTAGAAAAGAGAAAAAACAAAAAGGGGAAGGGAAAAAAGGCTAGCAAAATTTAATTATTTAATTATAGAAAATATTCTGCCGGGTTAACATCTAAGGTTATTAGTGGCGTATACAAAACATTACGATTAGGTGAGGCTTGGCGGCAAAGCCCCCAGGTGAATTTTTTGGGTTCATTTGGGCAATGTTTATGGATTTCCTGAATAGTCAGTGTTAAAAACAAACATATGTACCAGGCACCAAAAGTTACACAACATTTTGGTAAAGTATTGTGGCAAAAAGGGAAAACATGAGGTAACAATTTGGATAAGTGACAGAAGAAGGGGACGAATAAGAGAAGGAAAAGGAAAGAGGGAGAAGAAAAGAGCCTTCAAAAAGTTCCTTGTTTTCTTGCCAGTGATGTCACCTTTACTGTTGCCTGCTGATCATGCTTGTCCGTGTGGCCTATGCCATACAACAGATTACTCACCCTAGCAAGTAAGTGAGGTGTCTATGGGAAACTGTTAAGTACAAACTTCACTCTAAAGTATTTTGGACAATAGTTAAAGGTTAAAACAAAAAACAAAAAAAAATAATGTACAAGACTTAAAGGTCATAAAGCACTATGGTAAAGAATTATGGCAGATAGGGTTAAATGTCAAAGGTCATACAGTATACAGCAGTTAAAAGGGTTAAGAGTAAACAAGGCAGAGTGGGGAGTTAAGGGTAAAGGGTGATTAGATCAAGTAAAAAAAGGTAGAGGATTCCTTGAAGATTTCCAACAGGTTACTGCCATGCCTGTTGCTATCTGGGGGGGGGGGGGGGGGTACAGGAGATGAGGACAGGGGCCCATTGTTGGGGATCACCCCTAACTTGGCTCAACTTCTGCCCCTTTCGTTTTCCTTCTCTTCTGTCCACTTCATAAGAGCCGTGCTGAAAGGCTGTGTTTGGACATTATTGGAGTAATGAGTCAGAGAAAAACCTTGTTGGTGTGCTTCCTGTCTGGCTTTGCATAAAGTGAGGCCAAGTTTGAATCTGAGAATTGCCACTTCAGACTCAAACTTGTAGGTAGGACAGCCCCTATAAAATTCATTATGGGAGCAGGCACAATTGGGAAACGCCTTTCTTTGTCATGTTATTTTGAAGATGCTACCCTGATTTTTTTTTCTTTTCTTTGTCTCCTTTTCTTTTTTAATTTTTTAAAACACATCCTGGGATACGGCTATCACTCACACCTCTCTAGACTGAGCTGTGGTTTATAATTCATGGGTAAAACAACAGCTGTGCCCAATGAGGTTATCAATATTAGGTTATACAATCAAACACATGTCAGTGACCTATTTAATCCAAGTGGAAAAAGAAAACAAAATATACAATATTTACATTCACTATTGCCATTCATGAAATGTGTATGCATCCTCAAATCATTCTTAATTCTGCTTACTTTTGTGATCTTCTACATCACTTCAATATCAATTTCTTTTTTTGTAACATTTCTCTTCAATCATAGCAGAATGATATATTTTTTAAAGATTATCCATTTGACCATCTCAGCCTGTAATATCCATGACTTATTCCATTCCTCAATTTATTTTGTATTTAAGAGATTCTCATTACACTTTAGGACATGAAGTGTCTTCTAATATAATATACACAGCCTTTTGTAGGATTAGTTACATAATCTTTTACATACAATATACAAAACAAACTAAATGCATTTGCTACTACTGTATCTTACAGTATAAGGAGTGATATTCACTGATTTTGCAAAATCATCATTTTGGTGTCCTATGTAAAACCAATTTTTTACATAACTACATAATTACAGTTTGACACTTCCCTTGCTTTCTTTCAAGTTTAGAAATATCTTTAGAGGAAAAGAGCATGGATAGTACTAATTGCACATCAAAAATCAAGAATAGGCTTTTAGAAATACTCATGAACAAAATATATCCTAGACAGAGAGCCACTAAGTCAGCTGTCAGGAGCCATACACTGAATTCCAGAACTTTAGAGAGAGATTTATGATTACCGATCTTCATTAAGGGTTGGTATCTGTAAACTTGATGTGTCCATGTAATTGATTCCAACTATTTCAATTTCTGGTAAAATGTCTTCAAGGAGTAAGCACAGTAACTGGATGTCTCTGATATTTTCTAGTCCATTGACATGTAGAGTCTTTAACTCTCTGGAAAGATAAAACAGAGTATATGAGTAATCAAGAGAATTAGTATGAATCTTATTATACATTTAGTGGTATTATTAGGCTTTTCACATGTTGGAATTGCTTGAAAATTTACTGCATAAAGTAGTCAAATAAACTGTAACACTATTTAAAAAAAAGGTCTGATGCTCACCCTAAACTTACCAGTATCTTACTTAGGTATTTGTAAAAGTTAACTGGTAATATACTAGAACAGCCAAAAAGAAAGACTATAATTTTTCTCTTTTTATCACCTAAACAAAAGTGTCACAGTCTCTTACCTAAGACGTGCTAAAGCAGCAATGCCACGATGTGTAATTTTTGTACAATTACTGATGTCTAGATGTTTAAGGGTTGAAGCGTACTGGCCACAGATACGATCAATGCACCAGTCATCAATGTGGGGGCAATTTGCAACACTCAGCCATGTCAACTGCTTTAAATTACCTGTACATGACAATCAAATCAAAGAGGTTTAAATCATAATGAGTTAAATGTAACAATATTACTCATCATACCTGAAGAGAAAAGCTTGCTTGGGATTTAAATATCCAAAACAGAAGAGAAGAAACAAATGGATACACAAATATATACAACATTAAAGTGAAATAAGCAAGATTTCTACTCACTTAAGCACTCAATTCCCTCATAGAGAATATTTGTTTCTGAGGCATCAATAGCTTCAACCACAAGATTTTCAGTGTAATGACCAGGTAGATCATATTCTTCATCTTCATCTTGCTGTGTCCATTCCTGACTGCCTTTGAATCTGACCTTGCCACCACGATGGACTATGAAATGTGCAGCAGCTAAGTCAAAGCCAAGAGCTGCTACTCTGTCTTTTCGAAACCTGTAAACACAAGAAAAATTGAAATGAATTTCTTTCGACAAACTAGTGACAGTACATTGTTCCTTAAGAGAAAAAGTTTAAATGCACCCTAAAATAGACTGTTTGAACGTTATAGCACTTCCAGTTATATTGCCGTATACCCCTCAATCGCTTGCTCATTGTAACCGTAGGAGGGCTTAGGAGGCGGAGACTAGGCCCAACGTAGGGATCACCCCTGCCTTGGACCTCAGCCCTTGCCTCAACTCATTTTGCAGGGTCTTTCCTTTTCCTTCCTTTCTTCGTCCTCTTCTGTCCACTTATATTCTTTCCTTTTCTTCCCTTTCTTCATCCCCTTCTTCTGTCCACTTATACAAATTGTATCTCATATTTACCCATTTCACCACAATACTTTATCATAATGCTGTGTAACCTTTGATGTCTTATATGTTTGTTTTGACCATTGACCATTCTGAAAATCCACAAACAATACCTTACAGAACCAAAAATCTTTCTTACCTGAGGGATTTGCCCCCAAGCCTCAGACTATCGCTGTATTTTGCATACACCGCTAATGACAAATGTTGACAGAGCAGAAACCTTTCAATAAATATATAAATAATAGTTCCATATACAGTACATGCATATTTGTAATAAAATCAAGCAAGCCAACCTACAATCAACATCTCCAGGTGAAATTACCGTTTTGAACTTGTATATACAGAACAAGGGAAACAGTGTGGTATTGATAGATAAATGAATTCAAAGACATTTTCCTCCTGTGACAAACTGAGCAAAAATAAGTTATAAGAGCTTACATTTGCTCCATATCTAATAGAAGACCAGGGAGTTTCACAAGCTGAGCACCCAATGCTCATGATCATGGTGATGAAAATGAGGTCACAGTTTGATTTCTTTTTCTTTCAATCATATTTCATACTGTCCATCTTCAACAACTACAACATAAAAGATATGTCTTAGAATTCATCATTTGATTTTTTATTCCATTTCCTATTCCCACTGAGTTATATGCATGTCCCAAACCATAAAAATATTATCCTGCATCAGTTACCTAACAAAACTTGATCCATACAAAATCTGCAATAGACTCTTCCCTGTTACTTCTGTAATTTATCATATATTTCCTACACAATCCACAATTTTTTCACTGGTTAAGAGATCATTCAGGGAACTTAAGAAAGCCTATCATAAACTTGAAATACATATTATCACTTGAAAAGACAAGCTTAATAAAAAGGATTTTGTGTATTTTAGTGTGTGTGTGCATGCATGCATGTGTGTGTGTAAATATACATATATACATATATACATATATACATATATATATATATACATATATATATATATATATATATATATATATATATATATATATACATATACATATATACATATATACATATATACATATACATATATACATATATACATATACATACATATGTACATACATACATACATACATACATACATACATACATACATACATACATACATTACATACATACATACATGCATGCATACATGCATGCATACATACATACATACATACACACACAATGGCTCTCCCTGTTAACCCATTCGCCACGGATTTATGTTCTGTCCCCTGTTGGTTTTGGTGAATTTTGCTACCTACAGATGGCTCCACATGTACTCAGCTGGCAAGGAGTCTATCAGTAGGCCCTAGTTACCGACCCTGATTTTCCCATTCATTGAATTGGCGGGAAAATTAATATCATTGCTTTCAATGCTGTTATTATTATTACTGATGTTATGATGATTGAATTGTCATTAGAATATTTTTGACAATAAGATGATACAGAAAACCCTTTCCGAAAGTGAAGGAAAAGGCTAAACAGGTGAAATAGGTAGTTCTTGATAACTGGCTATTTGGTGATTAAGAACTTGTAGAGCCATCTAGGTGTAAATACAATAAATAAATGTGTATCAAAGTGGGTATGGCATCTATTCTTGCCAACCGCGGCGAATGGGTTAATACAAAGCCACAAAATTTAATGGTTAAGAACTCTTTCACACCTACTTCTAAATAAAATCTCTGCCTAATGCTAAGAAACCTTTGGATCTTACGTTTGATCACCTTCATCCCTTTTCTGCTTTATCTTCTTTATCCATTTCTGAATTGCTTTGGGGCGAAGATCAAAGCCTTTCTGCAGGTGATGCACAACATCAACTGTTATTCCTCTTTTTGGAGCAAAGTAATGGAAAAAACTTTTCCACTCTCCTTTTGGTAGCTCTTCTCTGAAAAAAAAAATATATATATATATTCCATTAAAACAATTCAAAAGGTTATGTTTAAAAAAAATAGTCCAAACAATACCTGGCCTACACAAATATATGAAGGGGAATTAAGGCTTCGATCAATAGTACATTCAGGTGATTAAAATTAAATTGGGCCTTTTACATGTTCATTTTGTGAGGGGGTGTAAACATGTCCTGTCCACTGTGATTTTAGTTCACTAATTTTTTTTGCTTTCATTACTGTTACTATTGTGAAGATTATAATACTAACAATGTTAATAATAATGATGATAATCATAACAATAATAATAACAGTAGTAGTAGTATTAATAATAATAATAATAATAACTATAGAAACAATAATAACAATAATAATGATAACTACAGAAACAATAATAATAAAATAATAATCACAAAATAATGATGATGATGATATTAATAATAATAACAATGATAATAATGGTGATCAAATATAATAAATAACAATAATAGCAATAATTATAGCAATAAAAATAATATAACAACAATAATCATAACAATAATAAAAATATTAAAAATAATAACAATAACAATGGCATTACCGATAATAACTATCAGAATCAATTTTTTTTCTAAAAATTCAAGCAACGGTCAGGTAGGCCTTGTATTGGACTCATTGGTAACCAAGCCGTTGTGAATTAATTGACAAAATACAACAATCAACACCGATAATAGATTAACCCATTGCCGCCGGGCATGGCATGTATGTATATGCCATGTACGTACATGCCATGCCCACTGTGAGTCGACTTGTTCGATTGTTTTTACACATAAATGGCTACACTTGTACTAAGTATCCAATGAGCCAATTACAGTACTGCCTGTCTCGCCCGTTCACCCTTTTCATCGATTTACAAAAATATTTAACGTTATCCTAATTTGCTGTTAAAAATAACACCATCTATATTTATAGCACTAGTAAAAATACGTTTTTTCCTGCCAATTCAAGGAAAGGTGAAATCAGGACTAGCAGAGCCAT